TGTCATGTAGAGGTACAAGATCCCAACAATGAATGTAACTGTACTGTATCCCTAAAATGTACCAATAAACTCAATTAAAGCTGAAAAAAAAAAAAGATTAAAAAAAATGATGGGAATGAGGGGTCTTTTACTGTAATAAATTTTTATTTAAACACTTAGCGTATTTTTTAACCATAGCGCATACACAGACCTGGTCAACACCACTAGTCATCAGAGCAACGCAACCTAAAACACTCTAAGGCACTCATTCCAAGAATTAAATAAACAAACTGACATGATCAAATGATGGAGAACAAAAGGGACTCTCCTACATTACTGGGGGAGTATATAAAATAGTGCTGGTACTGAAAAACCATCTGGCAATTTCTCTTAAAATTAAACATACTGCTTCTTGTCTTAGCAATTCCATCACTAATTTCCAGAGAAACAAAATTACATCTACAAAAAGATGAGTAACATAAACTTTATAGTCTCTTAAAGCATAATAATAAAAATACTGCAAACAACCCAAATATTTAACACCAGAAAAACTGAATAGATAAAATTGAATAAACTATCAATATACATATACAACTACATGAATGAATCTCAAAAGTATATTGAGCAAAAGCAGAGAGACACAAGAGGACATTCTATGATTAAATGAAATTTGGAATCGGAAAGGCCAATGCAGAGCTGGAGAAGAACTGTGCTTGTCTCTGAAAGGTCAGGAATGAGGAAAAAGAAGGAACCAGGACTCTTCCTCTTCAGCTGAAAGGAAGTATGCATGGATGTATGCCTGCATGCCCCAAAATTTACTGTCACTCTTGAGACCCAAATAATCTATCCCTGAATGTACCCTGAAGATTCCCACAATGTTAAAAGCATTTAAAATGGTACAAATATTACTTTCAAACCTCTTTCATTTCTTCTATTTATGCCAAAACTCTTTGGGCAAAGCTTTTAAACTATGTCAGAAAACAGCAAAACTGACATGAATGTGGCTACATAATTAGAAAGGATTATCTTTACAATTTGCTCTAACTTGTCTTGTGTACAGTGATTTTGTTGTATTAATCAAGCAAGAATATTAAATAAAAGGAGCCACTTGATGCCACATGCCTGTAATCCCAGCTATACAAGGGGAGAATCACAAGTTCCAGGACAGCCTGGGCAACTTGGCACAACCTTGTCTCAACATAAAAAGGTTTGGGAATATATCTTAGTGCTATAGTGAGCTTGCCTAACAAACATAAGGCCCAGCATTCAACACCCCCAACCCCAGGGTTGGGTGATGAAATAAGTTCTGGGATTCAGTTTCTCATATGGACCTCAGCTCCTAGACCAGAGTCATGTGGAAACTCTAAAGTGTTTTCTCCCTCTGTCCTAGGCCAGACAGAGTAGGGCACACTGCCACATGGGAACCAGATGTTCCTCAACAGCAGGCATTTAAGAAAATGTGTCAAATAAATGGAGTAACACCAAAGTAGTTATATGTGACATCTCCTCCACACTGAGGGACCACCCAAACCAAAGCCTACAAATACTGTAGAAATACTGTTACTGAAATACTGTAGAAAGCAACTCCTACTTCTCAACACTGAAAGTCCTCAGTAATAATCTTTTTAGCTGATTAATATTCAGTGAATTTAAGAAAATAGATTAAAATATATGTTGCTAAGGGAAAAAGCCAACACATCTGCCTCCAAATAAGAACAAGTAAAGTCCTGGACTGGGGATTTAGCTCAGTGGTGCTGCTGCCTGCTTCACAGCTCTGAATGGCAGCAGAGCAGCAACACCCTCTAAGCACAAGGTTCTGAGTTTGATCCCGAGTACCACAAAAAAAAAAAAAGAACCATAATGTCCTATGAGTGGCTGGGGAAGAAACTCTGTGATTTCAGTGCTGGCCTAGAATACCTGAAACCCTGGGTTCCATTCCCCAGCACCACATACACACATACACACACACACACACACACACACACACACACACACACACACAAATACACACACATACGAGCAAAAAGCGCTACAGAATAGTCAACTCTCTTTATAAGCAACATAAGACAAATCAATCAAGGAAAAAGATAAAAGTAAATAACTTCTAAAAAATATCTTAATTACTGAATTTAGAATTAAATTATAGGGTAAACAGTGTAAAAGAAAAACAACAAAATTTCCAGGTGAGAAAGTTAACAAGAAGAAGAAATCACAAAAGTTCAACCTATGGGGCCTCTAATTCTTTGCCTTCAAAATCAAAGTGTCAGCCGGGTGTGGTGGCTCATGCCTTTAATCCCAGCACTCAGGAGGCTGAGGCAGGAGGATCGCTATGAGTTCGAGACCAGCCTGGCCTACATAGTGAGTTCCAGGTCAGTCTCAACTACACAGTGAGATCCTGTCTCAAAAAACAAAACAAAACAAAATCAAAGTGTCAAAATTTTAGCCACCTTTTATGTCCTTCTCTTCATATTTCAGAAGAAAAAAATATGCCTTTACTTCTATAAGGTTTATTTATTTATTTTTGTACCAGGAATCAAACTCGTAACACTTGCACTTGCCAGACAGGCACTGCACCATGAGCTACATCTCTGGCCCCCTGTAAGTTATTTTTTAATAGCAAAACATTTTTTTAAAGTCAGAAAGTACTGGAATATATAAACTAATTCAATCACAGTTGCTACTATCCTCTTTATCCAGACCTTTTTTTTTGAGATTTACACACACACATTTAATTTGTTGGGTGGAGATGAGAAATTATATTATCTTGCTTTTTTTACTTAACTTATTATAAGCATCTTTCTGTGTTAGAGACCTAAGGTTATCAGAGGTATACTGTATTCTACTGTAAGGTTATCAGGATGTATTTATCCTTTATAAAAAGTTATGTTTGGTTCCATTTATCTTCAAGGCTGTAACTAAACACCTGGTGCATATATCTTTGAAACCATCTAGAACAATTCCTTTGAATAAATTCATTAAAATGGAATTGGCAAGTCAAAGGGCATCATCAAGGTGAGTAAAGGGTCTCATCATCTTTGTTTTTTGCAAGCTAAGAAGTCAGCCAGCCATGTCCCTGGTCAGACTGGGACAGTTACTAACAATGCCAGCTGCATTCTTGCCAAGGACCTGGGGCCCCATTCTCACTGGGCCATGTGAGCTTGCCCAGAGGGAGCTATGCTCCAGGAGGAACTCTGGGCTCAGGAAACCCAGATCTGTCACAAAGAGAAGAGAGCACAACTGTCCTGGCCCCATAGAAAAATGAGTCAAGTTGCTAGAAACCACCAGCTACATAAATATCCTTGATAGAGATTCCACAACAAAAGACAAGCAGGCATTGGCAGATTAAACATGCAGAAACCTAAAGAATCCATGGAAAAGTGTCTCCTGAGAATTTTTCCAACATGCTTCCCCACTGAATGAGACTACATAACTTTGATATTTGCCAACAGGACAAAATTCTGAATTGATGAAATTAATTTTTCAACTTTAAAATACCATAACCTAAGAAAAGTGATATTAATGGACAATGAATTCCTACGTTTCACTTTTAACTATTTACCACTGGAGATAGTCTCTTTGGCAGCCTTCTCCTTTAACTGCTTCTCAGATTTCCTTCTCAGGTATATTTGCATCAATCTGTACCTTTACAGGTTTGACTGAGCTCTGAACTAGGGAGACTGCTACAGAATCTGATGAGGAATCACACTCACCTGGTCTCTGATCTTGAGCTTTTAACATCTTCTTTAGCTTTCATTTGGTTCCCTCACCTAGATACATTTTCCTACAATTGGGAGATCTGGGTGAAGAGTCCCTACACTACCTCTTTTCTTTACACTTCGAAGTACTTCAAATAGGGACAGAGACAGACAGAACACACACACACACACACACACACACACACACACACACACCAAAAAAAAAATCAAATTTAGTTTACAGGATTGGAGAAAAGGTATGTTCAGGAAATGTTCCTGTTGTGGATACAACATGCAAGACCATGTGGTCTAGGAAAAAGGACAAGTGAACAAAATGCTTTATGGGCTGAATTTCTAAAGCCTTGCTATTACATCTGAAGTAAATAATCCAGTAAACATCACTTTTTATTATCTTTCAAAAAAAAAAAAGGAAAACAATTAAGGAAAATTACTGAGGGAAAAAAAAAACACTAAAAAAAATGTTTAAGAAAATAAGTCCCCAGACTAGGGAATGGTTTTGTGGCCCACACAGCTCAGCCACTCTGCCAGCTCTGGGTGACAACAACACACTCTAAGCACGCCCAGGTCTGTCCATCCAGATATATGGACCACCTCTTCTACACAGCCTGGGGACTGGCCCTCCCCACAGGCCCCTAGGGAGCTCTTCAGTGTCTGAGACTTTCCTGGGAGCTGTCACTTTTTCTTCTGCACCACAAAAAAATTTTTTTTCTGGTACCGGGGATCAAACTCCAGTTCTTGTGTTTCAGAAGAAGAACCACTAAGCTAAATCCCAGGCCGCAGCACAGGAATTTGCAAGCATCTTTGCAAGTCTCTTGAATTGAGAAATCAAGCCCCACCTTGTTTCCTCAACACCTAAAACAGCATCTACACATAGGAACCCTGAGATATTTTGAGTAACAATCCAAAGTAACGAATACTGGGCCAGGACTTAGCTCGGTGGTGCCGTCTCACAAGTGCCAGGTTCTGAATTTGATCCCTGGTGTGGTGGGGTAATGGTAAATTAATTCAGCAATGTAGCAGGGTATGAAATCAAATTAATGAATATGAACTAATTAAAAGCATTTTTGAGATAACACCCAAAATCATTTAACACTCAAAAAAAAAGCACACAATACCTGGAAACCAGCACAGCAGAACTCACTTTGCTAGGAGTTTAGAAAGTTGATTTTTTTTTTTTTTGTACTACACTCATCATTCAAAGAGATGTCTCAATTTTTCACTAATGCTAAAAAGATGCTAATTTTAAAACTGGTGGGGGGAGACCAGTAAACTTTTTTTTTTACTCTTTAAAAGTTGAACAAATACCTCTTCGGTCTCAGGAGCAACATAGGAACCAGTAATCTCATCTAATCCATCTTCAGCAACACAGTCTTCCTGCTCTTGCAGCCCTTGTTGCCCACCATAAGCCTGCAAGTATTCTTCATCCTAACGACCATTAAAGAGAAAACAAGTTTTTCTCATACAGCTTTTGGTGTTTGTTCTTTAAACACTTTTCATCTTTATGGCTCATTAATTTTAGCAAATTTTACTATGGCAACTACTAGACTGAGCGCAAAGCACTAAGTACCTCCTCTACACATAAATAGGAACTAAGCACAACATGCTAAGGTTAGTGCCTCATTGCCTGGGTTCTGCTTCAGACCCGACATCCTGTTAAAAGTAGCTCTCCTTCAAATCAACCCCAGGAAAAGCAACCTGAAGAAAGCATGTTTGTTCTCAGAGGAGCAACAGTGGGCGGGGGAGAAAAATCACGCCCATTTCTCACCAGTTTTAAGGCAACAGAAACAACACAACTACAGTTCAATTCTATAGGTGCTTCTTACAAATCACACTTTGTATATCAGGCACCTCCCTTTAGTGACAGGTTCTGCGTGAAACTTAAGGGTCATACCAGCAGCAGGCATCCCTTCTACGCTCATGGAAGCAAGCAGAAAAGCTGGCTGGAGAGTCTGCCAAAAAAAGCAGGCTGCTTTCTGCTTTCTCAGTGAGCAACAAGAAGACATGATTCCACTCAGTGCAGGCAGGCACCCCAGCATTCTCAGCCATGTAGCAAAAATGAGCAGTTAAGCAGTTACAATCCCAGAAGAGTGTGCAACCAACAGAGCTAACAGTCTACCACATAGTATATGACAGTCTACCTAGGCACTCACAAAAGCAACTGGACAAACCACCTTTGTTTCCACAACTGCCTTGCCTAGAGATGATGAGAGCATACTGCCCACTACTGTGCTGAAATGTTAGCATTCCATGAAAAAAAACAATTCCACAACCCTTGATTCACTAGCAGCAGCAGAACAGTCAGATTCCAAAGGCAGCCAGAGATGCTAATCAAAACATCAGCAAATATGCACTGGGGGACAGTCTACACCACTGCGCTCTCACCAGAAAATGCAATCTGTTTGTTATCCTTTACATAAAGTCAATCTGAATGCGTTTTTATAAAAGTGTTTTATGAACTCTGTTAATTTTATAGGCCTAAATATAGTGATTGCACCTAAAAATGTCACCAACAAAGAATCTTCTAATATTTACAGATTAAACAATATACAATCTTATAATTACTATTAGAAGAGGATATATTTTTAAATAAAACTGTAGTTTACTCTCAAGAGTAGCACCTGTAAAACTCAGATTTAGTATCTGTTACTTTGGAATATGACAGGAAAGCAGGCCAGAGCAGTGCTGCCAGCTCTGCCAGGGTTTCACTGCTATGCTCCACAGGTGGCCATGCCCCTTTCCACTGCTAATTCTGTAGTTTTACATTCTAGGGCTAGTTATAGATGCAAGTCCTCCACGTGACCCTACAGGTGAAGCCTCCCAAAGAGAGAACATATGCATGTGGCCACATTTCAGTTTAATTCTGACTTTGAAGTTCAGGTTAATAAATCCTAAGTAGGGCAAGGAATCAGTTAAATAAGACATTTAATAAACTGCATACTGCTGGAGTACATGAAGACACAATCTCCTCATGTATTCATTAGTCCAATGATGAATGAATAAATAATGTGAGTGGCAGCCTAAGAAGTCAGTGAGGGGCCATTGCCAAGCAGCAGTGCACTATTCCATTTAATTCTATCTCTTCCCTCTTCAGTGGTCATTTCTGACCTCCCACTGGGATAACTGAGAGAAAGAATAGGGTGCCTAAGGCTGCAAGTCTAAGAATGCTAAGGTCAACTGACAGCGCTCACAGAACAGCACTCTATGGATTCTCCTTGCCTTTGTGAAAAATCAATCAGGACACTTTCAGAATTTCTATGTAAACTTTTACCTGGGATTTTTTTTTTTTAAATTCTGAAAAAAAAAACTAATTCTTTTTAATGTGGCAGACTCCTATGAGTATTTTTAACCTGTCACATTTATTTCTTTCACAAGCTAGACCTTAGACCACCAGGTGCTCAATGATATGATGTGTTTTATTCCACTTTATGTAACTACAAGTGTGACAGAATACAGCTTAAGGAACTCCTCACTGACTAGAAATTCTCCACAACACCGCCAGAATGTAACATGAGGTGCTCCTATGTGGCAATATACACTACCATGATTTCCCACACTGGGTCTGTCCACTACAGCCAAACTTCAAGGGACAGACCCAGGATTCAGGTTTCTTATGGCTTAGAAATATTTGTATGCCAGTGCTTGGACATTAGTAAAGATATGCCACACCCCTAAATTGACTCAAAGATGATTAACTTATGTTATTTCACTGATGCATTGGAGAAATGATACTCTAGGAAATAGCTTGGCACAGTTTTCGAAGATCCTGATTTAATCTTTAAAGAGCATTTTAAATATAATGTATCACTTTAATAAAGTATGCAAACATATCAAGACACTTGTCCACCTAGTGAAAAATTTATTACCAAAACATGTCATTATTGGGCTCTGGAGATAACGAGTTCCACAAGGCCTTTATAGGACTCTACTTACCAAACTACAACATCTTTTCATTACTCTATCAACTGAAGATCAAGTATTCAGAAAGAATCAAATCTTTTAACTACTGAGACACCTAAGCACAATCATGACTAGAATTAAGTATCTTAAGGTTCCACATAATCCTTTTAAATATTGCGTGTGTGTGTGTGTGTGTGTGTGTGTGTGTGTACATACATGCACAATCAACATTCAGCAATTTCTGAATGTTTTTCCTGAATGGACACACACTCTGAATGAAGCCATAAAGAGATAGGGAGCTATTCCTGCATCAAATAGGCTCTTTGGCTGTGACACTGCACAGTCCTGTTTCTCCTCTGCCTCTCCAGACCCCGTTGCTCTGAAAGCTCTAATGCTCTTCACAACAGCTGAGATCAAGCCTTCCAGCAGGAAGGCCAGTAAGTGCTTATTTTAAAAAACATCCCTTTCAATGATGCATCATTACAACACATGAACAATCTTGTACTAGCACTTTTTCCTTCCTTATGGTTCAACTTTTTAGAAAAGGGGGGAAAAATGTACTGACCAAAACCATCTTTCCGAAACAAACAAACAAACAAAAAAATCAGCAAATCTTTGCTTCCCAATTACAGATAACAAATTATGTGTGACATTTCCTAAACTAACCTCCAATCTCTTTATTCAGGTTTAGACAGTTTTCAGTTATAAAAAGGATGAATGAACAGGACATCAATCACTGTGGAATATTAGCACCTTAAAGATGTCTTTAGCAGGTCAATAATCTTTTCACCTTAGAAGGACTTTATCAGATCTGGTCTAAAGCCAGGATAAAAGCCCTGCATTAAGTACTTCTAACAATTGACAGTGTATCTCCACCACACAAAGCTGTTTTCTTCCTTAGGGTGCAATCCTCAAGGTCACCATTCTTTGCAGCCTTCCAGAATGACAAAGGAGCATTACCTCTGGCCAAACAAGCTGTCAACATAAACTTTGTCATAGCTCAGATAAAGAAACTGGCAGACAGTGATAATAAGGTCTAATTTCCCTCCTTCCCAAGGGAGGGAAATAGATTTCAAATCAGTCTAGAAACAAGTGCACAGGAAGCCATGTTATCTTTGGCCATACAAAGAAGAAAACACTCACTGTAAATTCATCTAAAGGTTCATTGATTTCGATGTCCAACACTTCATCACTGTATAGCTGCTCCTCCTCTGGCTCTTCCCCGTATTCTATTTGGTCTTCTGTCAACTCTGCATCATGGCCTTCATACTGTCCTTCCTCTGGGTATTCCTGAGTATACAATTCCGGACCGTCAGATTTGTGGTAAGCTAACTCATCCTCTCCTTGTTCATACTCGGATTCCTGCTCTCCAGATTGGTCATTAGTGTTGTCAGAAAGTTCAAACGATGTAACCATACCAGATGTGGTATTGAGACTAATCGTGACATCCTGAGAACTGAAGAAGACAAAAATACAGATATACACCCACTGAACATGGAGCTCAACACCAAATCACTATATATTGTACTACTGTAAATGCACTGTAACAGACTTGAACTATGACTGGTGATGTTAGTCCAGTTATTGATATGTGAACTTTTACTCCAACAAGGAGTGAAAACAAGGCACTAAGTGCAACAATGAACCAGTGCCAAAAGCAGGTATGGCAGAGAACACAATTTACTAAGTGAGCTGGTGCCCCAGACTCATAATGAAGACAGGCCTTCACTTCACTTCTCAGCTTAAAATTATCTGACCAAAGAACTGTCAACCAGTAAGTAGCCAGGTCTGACTGGCAGAAATCTCAGGCTGAAACCAAGCATTTTATATTTTATTCTAATCCACAGAATGAATGGATGGACTCTGTTGCTAGAAATATATGCTAAACACAAGAGTATTGCCTTAGCAGAAAATCCCAAATGGAATTTTTTTAAAATTTGGTTTCTTTTCCAATCTATATAACATAAATTTTGACTCTTGTTTGTAAGACAATAAAAATATTAAAAATATGTATAAAATAATTTGATGGTTCAAATAATTAAAATGCATACTAGTCATAAATTTCTTTAAAAAATTACTGGTAATTTAAAAGAATATAGGATTTTAGTACTTCAAAAAAATCTTATTCCACTTATTAAATCATAACAGCTAAATACCAAACAGATGCAAGATAACACTTGCAATGAAAGCTTGGGTAAATAAATATATGTTCACACACATTAAGTAGCCAATCCTAATAAAAATCTGAATATACCACAGACTTCAAAACACAGGCTAAAAGGATACACTTCAAGGCCAACCATACTTAGAAGTATCAAATCATGGTGTCAAAGATTAGGATAGGGGAATGAATTTAACTGACAGAGTAATTTAAAACTACATTTTTTGATCTTGGGCCTGGGATTTAGCTCAGTGGTTTGGTGGCCTGCCTTGCAAGCGCAAAGACCCAAGTTCAATCCCCGGTACCAAAAAAAAAAAAAAAAAAACCTACATTTTTACCCATAAATTACTGTTATAAAACCTTTTATAAATTTATGATTCAAGACCATATGACATGTATTTATTAATTACATTTATAACCAAGAAGCATATTTGTATTTTGCTAATTTTTCCTCACAAAATGGAAAAATTATTTCCACCTTCCAGGGTATTATAATTATACTAAGTCTCTCTCCCCAAAATAGTAATTTAGTACACAGACATGTAATAATAAAAATTTTCTAAGTAAAAACAAAGGTACCAACATAGACCTACAGTAAGAGTCTAAGGTCACTGTCCTTTATCTTAAGAAAGTAATTTTTAAAGAATAGTATAAAACAGTACTGAGGTTTTATGACCTGTACTAAATGAATTCAAAGGTCAAAAATCCAAGGCCTGTACTGATTTGAAGCAGATTTATTTCCACTGTAACTCATATAGATTCTACATCAGAATATACATAACCTGTCAAGAATGTGAGCATATGTTAAAGGTATAACAAGAGTACATTATTCAATTACAATCCATTGTTAATTATAACTTACAAACATTTCCTATTAAAGAACATTTTGAATCAATTAAAGTACCTGAAATTTTCTTCATCTTCATTATCACTCTGTAAAAGGTCATCATTTAGCTCTTCATCTGACAAATCTGACTGATTCTAATTAAAATAAAAAAAATCTAATTAATGCATGTCGCTTTCATAAAAAGATGTTATCAAAGTACAAAATTATGTTGAATGGACTGTTTTAAACCCTGTGTTATTAAAACATTTGACATCCACTGTTTTCAGTTTGATGTCACTGGGGATAATCAAAAATCCCACATAATACTGGCTGCCCTCTCTGGATAATTTCAGATGCTGCATGTGAAGAAGTGTGGAAGTAGTTAAGCGTAATGATTCAGTTATATTTTAATTCTAACACAAAAAGGAAAAGGGTACAAGATCCTTGGGTAGAGATTTCCAAATAATTCTCCCTTCCCATATACAAAAAATAATGGTATCTTTCAGATATGACTAAATTTAACAGTACCTAAAATTTGAAAACTTTTAATGCAAAATAGAACTCTAGAGATGTGCAGTTTTTAAGCTAACTCAATCACCCGACTGAAATGGTATAGTCCATAACTGGTTTATCCACTACACATCACGTATGAAAGTAAATGTCTGTCACAAGCTCAATCTCTGTCTTTGACAGTGCTGTGAATTCATCCTATCAGCAAGCAGGGAAGTCAGTGTGATTCAGTAGAGAGCTCTCAGTTTTGCTGGATTAAGTATGTTCCAATATTTTAGACTGCAGAGTAAAATTTCACTTTCCTCTATTAAAATTATTAATATGTACAAAAGGCATACATAAATTACTACTCCTCCTTCAAAAGAAAAAGTCAAATATATACTCGCTTTTAAATGAGGATTAATGTGCTTGCTTGTGCAGCACATACTAAAAAATGAAGATTTAAAAATTGACCTGATTTTCTACTTAATTTACACCTTACAAAAATAAGACTTTCAAACTTGACAGTATATTCTTCACCTTAAAGAATATACTTTGGAAGAATATATACTGGCTATTCTGATAGTCAAAAATAACCAATTGTATGAATATAT